AAAAAAAACCCCGAAACGAAAGGAAACGAGACAGGACGAGACAGGACGAAATCTAGCTAGCTAGGTACATCCATCCGGGTGCAGAAGGGAGGGAACAAACAAACAAACAAACAAACAAACAAACAGCACGGGAGCAGGGGGGGTGGGGGGGGTTAACCAGCCCGGGAAAGAAGGAGGGGGTTCAGTACGACGCGGCCAATTTTCAATTTTCAATTTTCAATTTTCCGGTTTTTTTTTTTTTTNTTTTTTTTTATATGTCTTTTGTTTTCTTCTTCCCCTTCTTGCGTAGTACCCTGTCTGTGACTTGCCAAATATACACATACATATAAATTTATAAAATTATAAAATCATAAAATTTACAAAATTAGAAATTTTTAAAGAGCGGTCAGCTGCTTGCTTGCTTGCTTGCTTGCTTGCTTGCTTGCTTGCTTACCACCCACCAACCCACCCAGCCTCTCTCACAAGTCTCGACAAAACCAACCGCGGTAGGGTAGGGAAAGGTCCGTCCGTAAGCTCGCATGCTGACACCCCCCCCCCCACGTCTATCGGTATCGACATCGGTATCGAATACCTATCGAAATTCGGTCTTCTGCAGCGTCTGCAGATTTATTTTGCCCGGCGGGCCCTGGCGGGGACCTGACCTGACCTGACCTGACCTGACCTGACTCGGGGACGTCGCAGACGTCGAAGAGAAGCCGTCGGAGAAGATGGGTGGACTGACTGACTGACTGACTGATTGATTGATTGATGCCCGATTACTACTCACGGGCGGATATAGCCACGGGTTGGTGTCCCCCGAGGCGCAGCGGCGCGGAGGAGAGAACGAGATCCTGCAGGTGGTGTAGACAACAGGCCTGCTGCGGCCGTCTCCCATGTTGGTGTTGTTCCCATCGCTCGTGTAGCCAGTCGAGTTGTCACTCGCTCGCTCGCTCGATGCTAGGTTCCGCGGGCAGAGGCGGTTTACCCGGCGGTCGCTCTAGTAGGAGGTACTGACTACATGTAATATTGTAGCACACGCAAATACAAAGGAAGGGTCGAAGGGGAGAAGAAATTTTGATTCGTGGGAGAGAGAAGGGAAGAGGTAGAGAAAGCCTCTCTATGCGAGCCCCTTGACTTGCTTGCCCCTAAGTATCTATCTGTACACACCCTAACATCAGCTCATGCCGGATAAATGCAATCACTCTTTCGGCTTAGCCGCTCCCCCGATCCTTCTGTGCTTTCTCTTATCCTTCCTACTCATCTTAACCCGATCACGGGTCCCTTTTCCTCCTTCCCAGAATCCGCCGACGCTCTTCCTCGCCACCATGCTCCCACGACAGAACCCGCAGTCCTCTGGCCGGTAGTTCTGCTCCCTAGAACAGTGTCCACAGATCATGCGGTTTGCCCATTCGTTCGGGTGGTCCTCGCCTTCCTCGTGGCATTTATCGCAGGCGTAGACTTTCATGCAGCAGCTGAAGCGGAACCAGCGATAGCTCTTGGTGTAGTGGCGACAGCGACCGCGTTTGGGGAGCTCGGTTCCTGGGGTGAGGCCGAGAGTTTCTCTCTTGCGGCGGGCTCCCGGGGCTGTAGGGATATTTGATGAAGAGATGCGGAGGAATTTGACCGATGGGATTTTGTAGATAAGCTGTGAATAGCATGTCCGGCAGACGTTCCTGGTGGATTCGCCTTGAACCGAAACGATTCCAGGTAGCGGGTAGGCGTTGGAACATTGAGAGCAAGTTGGAATGAATGTGCTGGAAATTCTCAGTGACTTTGAATGTGCTTGATGGGGGAAGAACGCACCTAGCCAACATGTCGCCGACAACACAACCCTCCAAGTCTAGGAAACCTGCTCGTACTGCATGTGCATGTATTAAGTCTTTGCGGAACTGTATGCTTAAGGGGCTTGCGCACTTCTTGCAGCTCTCTGACTTGGTGATGCCGTCCTTAAGCCCCTTCACCTCTGTCACATCCTTGCATCTCTCACACTTGACGGTAATATTCAGTACGACGATCTCCAAGAGTTCGATACCATATAGCTCCATGAATGGAAAAGAGATGGAAGTGCCCCGCTCTGTATTCTGCATTGGTTGCTTGGGTTGTTCGGGTGACTTTTCGCCGTCTTCGTGAACTGCGACCCCTCCGTCCTCGTCGGAAGATTCGTCTCCTGTATCATAAGAGTCAATTTCATCAGAGTCGGAAGCCTCATCTCTTTCGATAATCTCCCACTCAGGTGGTCTAGTGATGTATTGAATGTGACTGCGGTCTGGGTCTTGGTGGCCCTCTGGCAAAGTTCCCGTGGAGACGGGATCCTCTACGATTGGGAGCTGAACGGGAACAGCTAGAGCTGGCTTTGCCTCCAACTTGGTTTTTGCTAGAAGATGCATATTTTGAGCCAGGTAATTGACGTGTCCAGTCAGCGTGACATGTTTTCGCTCAATAGCTTTCTGCTGGAACCCAACCTCAACTGGCTTGGCTTCTGGAGTATCAGGGCCATCCAGCTTGATGCGGCAAGGCTGCAGAGGGTACAAGAGAGGAACAAACAGAACAACTGCTTTGACTGCTTGTAACGAGATCGGCAACTCTGCTCGCTTCTTCGGCTCCACAGGCAATGTAAATGCGATCCCATCAGGCGACATCTTGTAAAGGGGTAAGCGCTTCATCCGAGCCTCAAGTTGTCTAGTCTCAACTTCTCTCCGCTTCAAAGCCTCGGCCTTCTCCTGGGCCGAGTAAGTAATGAGAGGCGCCGCGATCTTGGGAGTAGTTCTCTCGGGAGAGACAGGTTCCTTCACCGCAGCAGAAGCAAGAGCTGGTTCTACGGACCGTGAAGGAGCAGATGAGAGGTGTCGGGTATCCTTGTTCGGTACCAACATTACCGTTTCAGCCTTTGGGGCGGATAAGAAAGCTTCGAGGTTCTTATCAAGAGCCTTTAAAAACTCCAGCAAGGTGGAATCTGGCTTGTCCTTGACCAAATTCTCAAACCCATGCTCGACATTGAGAGCAAATCCTCTGGGGATATCGGTATTACCAACTTTGAGAGATGGGCCATGATTCGGATACGTATTTGGTACAGAAAGTAAACAATCCAATGTGGTCATCTCAAAAGGGAAATCAGGATCTGAAGGAGCAAGGCTGAACTTCAAGAGCGTAGCTTGTGAACCAGGATGCGTCGTCTCCTTGGGCTTGAAACGTCTCCGTATCTGGCCCAACTGGAATTCTCGAGGATCCTGGGCTTGTGCTTGTGGTACTGGCTTTGGAACGACTCGCGAAGTAGGGACAGGTTTCGTAATTGCCTGCTGGCGATCTCGGACCATACCATCTTCCTCCATCACGAGGTTGCCTGCATTGCCTTTGCCCTCCGCGGATGGTTCGGTTGTGTTGTCAAATGGCTTCGATGTTACAGGAAGTTTGTTGTCATCATGCAAGAATTGGCATTCGTCGCCGGCTTGACAGTGGCCTATAATCTCGACGGTCAGCATCTCTGTTCAGCTGCTTCTATGCCCGGTTGGGTATCACGTGTTGCAAGACGGGATCAAAGGATCGAAAGCCACCAGTCCACGAGTCCAGGAGTCCACGACTGCCACTGAATTCTCCATAATCTGGATGTCTGACGTCTGATGTCCAGATCAATCGTCTCCCCCCACGCCCGTGATAGCGGTGGAGATCAAATGATCCGGGAAGTATGCTTGCAATTGCTGCAAGCACACACTCGGCGGCATATGCAAACCAAAAACATGCATAGGGCCAATAAGAATATTCACGGACCAGAGATATAATGAATTAATGAATATATCTTTCATACCGTTTCTGCTGCTGAAGTATCGGCAAACCCTTGGTTTCCGCGAGGCGGACTCACACTCGTTCGGGGGGAGCGAGATGTCTGCCAGCGCATCAGATTAGCATCAATCAACCGAGCAGATGACCCTATGCCCTCCGCCACGACCCGCCATGATATGCGCCGCGACCTTGTCGACGGGATGTGAGGGAGGCGGTGTGAGATGCTGCTGACCTGGCCTGGATGTCATGATAGAGGATGGAAGATCGATGTCGTCGATGGCAGCACGGAAAAGCTGCCGAGCGTCGAGGTGGCGTACTGGCTGGATGGATATATCTCGCCGTGGATAGCGAGCGAGATAGGCTAGTGACAACGAGGAGACCGGAGAAGGAGCATCTTTCTTATTCTTTTGCTGGGGGGGGGAGGGGGTTCAAAAGTTTAGAAACGCAATAAATAAGGGGTCCTGGCATCACAGTTGTTGAAGAGGAAGTTTGGTTTGGATGTGTATAATCGTGATCACGGGGAATTGAAGTTAGCATGAGTCAAAAGTTTGCCACCCCAGACTCGCATCTGAGTCACCATCTGTACTCAATATGATCAAATATGAGGCGACAATATTTCTATGTTATATATTTTGATCCAGGATAATGATCGGATATTCAGAATAGTCTCGCTCACCAGGAGCTTCTCAATACCCCCTCACCTGCCGCTTCCCATAGTCCCAACCCAGCATGGCGTCGGAAGGGTAAACAGGTTTTTTCTTCTTCGTGAATTCTGCAATGGATATCGAATTGTCTATTATTATCTTCTCCTGTCATACGTGATCGAGCCCAGGCGCGGAGGCGGAAGTAGGCGCTTACTTCCATGCAGCGCTCACGGTTCGAATTTCAATGCGTTCCCTTACCCGGGCTATGCACCCCATACTTATTTGATCCTCAACTTGAGCTGGAGAGAACTCACCAGCAAGGATTACTGCGACCTATGCTTTCACCTTGGTTGCATCGCTAAAGCTTGATAAATCCGGCGCCAAATCTCCTCGCCTGGTCTCGCTTCCGCAAAGCCATAGGTAAGCAAGAGTGGTATTTCCCATCAAGGCCATCAATGCATTCTCATGGGCTGCGATTTCTCTCACTGCTCAAGTTATTTTCAATTCCTGAGGCCGGTCGCCATGACTATCAATCGATTATTGATTGTGGGGTCCAACGCATCACTCATTGGGTGATAGGTTGCTGGTCAGATTCAATCCGCTCAAGTACAATGACATGACCTTCTCAAGTCCAATAAATGCTTTGATGATTCTATTATCAGGTAAATGCTCCCAGATACCCGCAAATCCACGGGATTGTCGTGCTTCTGAGCCTTCTAGTGTTCAAGTTCAACAACCGCTTTGTGAATTATAGCCCGCAGCTTTCACGACAGGAAAAGAACAAACAACCACGAACTACAAAGGTTAGTCATGTTCAAAGAGATTATTCTGTTCTATAACGGGAATGATTAAGCCACCATCGTCGTGCGTCATTGTTCCTTAAAAGTTCCATATGGTGCAGATAATCCAGTAGTCACTCATACATTTATTTACCTACCAAACTCAAATTACAAGTATCCCAAACAAAAAGCACTCCAACAAGACAGAACAAGCCATTTTTTCCTCTTCTGAAGCCAGAATGACAATGACTACATCTCCGCTCACCCCGCCCATAACGCCTCCAGTGCCTCCACCCTCTCGCTTCTGCTGCCTCCAAGTCCGGCTCCTCTGGGAGAAGTGCGGACACATCGAGACCCTCACGATTCACGAACTTCCATGCAAAAAGCTCTATCGCGGCTGGCTTCCGGAGACGTCGCCGTACCTGCAGGTCAAACCATGCCCAGTCATGACCAGACACCTCGCTCTGAAGCGTGCCAGGTGCGAGAGGTGTACCGAAGCGGTGGTGGCGCCGAAGCGAGCACTCTTTGGCTGGGGTAGTGTAGGGAAGAGAGACAGGTGTGGCGAGGTGGTTCCGATTGCAGAGATCGTTGCGAGGAGGACGGAGTGGATTAAAGTGATGGCTGCTCAGGCTGAGAGGAATCGCAGGAGGGATGGGGCGAGGAGGCTGTGAACCTGGAACCAAGAGGGCGCAGAAACGTCGCAGGCTGGTTGATGAGATATGAATATCACGCTTGAATAGAAATATAGAATCATGTACTGCAGTTCCCAAAAGTCAGCTCGGTACCATGAATTGCTAGAAATCCCGGACCCATCTGCTCCTTTCAGAAGGAAGTAATAAATTAGGATTGGATATGCCGAAGCTTGTATCCTCGATACAGGCAGAAGATGAGCAGGATTAATGATATTCAGGGACGTACCAACGAAACCTTTGCGCTCTCTGTGGTCCCCTTGAGAGAGTGTTTATATATGGCCCTTGACCAGAGAAAATTAGCGACTTGGCGCTGAAGTACCAACGACGTCCCTAGGTCGCTAAGAGAACCTTTAAATTTAATACATCAACAACAGACGCTTCAGACCCATTCTAAAAATCTCTGCGTAGCTAAAGTACGTGTTCGAGATATTTGGGAGAAGATTAGTCTTCAGTCAAAGGCGTAGCGTATGCGAAATATTACTCATACTCCCTGGCGGGTATTGCACCCACTTCAACATCGACGCACGTCGTTTGAGCAGATTCGAGCGGCAGCTATTCAGCCCCGTTAACTAGTAAAAGAACCTCTCATTAGTCTTGAGGAGTTACAAGGTACAAGTCTCGAGCTATGCAAATACCGATATCAGGCGCCGGAGCTGAAAGAATCTGCGGGCATATCACAATTCGATTTCAGCATCTTTCTTGCGGTACTAACCATATTCCGGCATACCGAGAGCTACCAGTCTCCCAATCTTATTCTACTATCTCTAGTATAAGGACGAGGCTTTTGGATGCCGAGTGATGCCACGTCTTTGAGGACTTGCCTTTGGCCAGATTAGCGCGTGCTTGTGAAATTCTAGACTGTACCCGCAAAGTCAATAGAAGAAAGAGAATACGTGGAAAATTGCTGTCTTGTTATTCATCTGGTATTCAAATTTGGGTAAGTGAACTCAGGCGTGACGCTAGTCGAGTTTTTCTCGGTGGCAGCGGCCGCAACACGTCTACCTCCGCCTATCACGCTATTGACCTCGACCCCTTTCCTTCTTCGTCAACCCAACAACCCAACAACACTACAACCCGACAACCCCATCTATTCTTCGATCTCGAACAAACAATCATCAAGAATCCTCTTCCAACCACCACACGTAGTTTCAGCAAGACTGAGACGCAGACAAGACACAATGCTTCCCACCACCTTCATCGCTCTCGCCGCTGGGCTCGTTGGACTCGCAACTGCTCACATGGAGATGAAGTTCCCCATCCCACTGGGAGACAGACGAGGCCTCGCCGGACCAGCCGACTACAGCCTGCACGCACCCCTGATGTGAGCAAACCCATTACCGACGAAGTGAACATACATATATACATCTGCTAACTCCCGCACTCCAGGGCAAACGGAGCCGACTTCCCTTGCAAGGGCAAGCTCGGAATCCTGGCCACCCCCGCTGGAGCCAGCCTGCATACGTGGGCAGCTGGATCCGTTGCAGATGTGACCATCGGCGGCGTCATCAAGCCAGGTTCAGGAGAGGTCCCTGCCTTCCACAATGGAGGTTCGGTATGTTCTACTACGATCTAGCTCTCCCGAGGTCTCTCTTCGAGTGAGCGAGCGAGATATGCTAGAGAAACCCATGCTGATCGATCTGTGCAATAGTGCCAGGCCGCTCTGAGCTACGATCAAGGAAAGACCTGGAAGGTGATCCACTCATTCCAAGGAAACGTAAGTGACACACTGCTCCCAGTAGCTAGCTAGCTACCTTCCCCTCTGCCGCTATTCAGTCGGAAACTGCTGACTGACTATTTGCAACAGTGCCCATTGCAACCGGATACGTCTTTCAGATTCAACATCCCCTCCGACGCCCCGACCTCTCACGCCGTCTTCGCTTGGCTCTGGTGGAACCACACCGGTGCGTGATTGTGATTGATATCTACAAACCTAATCCATCCCTCGAGCAGATTGCTAATATACCCCTCTCCCCATCCAGGCAACCGCGAGATGTACATGCAATGTGCCTCCATCACCATCGCCGCCGGCTCCTCCTCTGGTCCCGCCCCCGCAGTCCCCTTCTCCCAACGCCCCGACATCTTCCGCGCTAACATCAACAACGGCTGCCACACCATCGAGGGCAAAGACACCTTCTTCCCCAGCCCCGGCCCCGACGTCACCACTTTCGGCACGAAGCAGGACGGCAGCTACTCGGGCAACTGCGGCGTCACCCAAGAGGCAGTCTCGGCAGTCTCGTCCTCTACTGCACCCGCACCAGGACCGGCCAGCACAGCATCCACCTCGTACACCACCAAGCTCGCGTCTTCAGCTACCAGCAGCAGCACTCCCAGCAGCGCCCCAGTCAACAACCCCTCCCCTCTGCGCGTCAGCACGAACGGAGAGTGCAGCGGCGTCCAAACATGCAAAGGTTCGATTTTCGGACGCTGCTGCTCCACCTGGGGATACTGCGGTAACACTCCCGTGTACTGCGGATACAGATGCATGTCTGCCTTCGGCGACTGCGATGCACATGTAATCGTCACTCGTGAGTGGATGTCTTGAAGCCGGCCCGCTGCCTGGATAAATAGATAGCTGCGAGGAAAGATATGGCATGGTACGGTAAATGCATATATTTTCTCCTGATCTTGAAAGCTGGAGACAAGCTCACTCAACTGTACGACGGATGATGATGGAGCGGTTCTTTGTTTTCATTTGGGGTTTTTTTCTGGGCCGCTAGGTCTCTGAAAAAAAAGCAGCACCTACTTGCGAATACCAAATAGAGAATATCTTTCCCTACAATGTATTCCACTTTGAGCGTGATATCTCGTAGAAATGGAACAAGTCAGTTCGACTGCTTGAATTCATAGAAAGAAACATGATCCGGGACCTCTAATCATGGAATCTCATCCCCCCCCCCCTCCAATCAGAACTCATACACTGGCAAACTCTTGTCCTCCGCAGGAGGACTCGACAGCTTCCCAACCAGCTTTGCCACTCTGAGCCAAGAGACCGTTCCCAAAACCCCATTGAGTACCTTGATCCCCCAGGCCGTCTGCGGATTCAACAGCGCCGGCGTCCCAGGAGGTAGACTCTGCGCCTTCTCCACATACGGCTTCATCTTCTCCTCATAGCAGCGGAAAGCTTCCCTGTGATCCCTCCCACACCTCGCCACTTCTCCCGCCAGGATGTAAGCACCGATAAGAGCCAAGCTCGTCCCCATCCCGGAAATAGGCGAGGGACAGTATCCCGCGTCTCCTAACAGCGCGACTCGCCCGGACGACCACTGCTGCATCTTGACCTGCGCAATCTCCTGCATGTAGAAATCGTCGGAGAGGTCCATCCCGTGCAACACCCTCGCCGCTTGCCAGCCCGCGTCCGAGAACAGCTCGTGCATCATCCGCTTCTGCTCGCCGATGCCGAGTTGAAAGTACCCGGCCGGCCTCGAGCTCATGACAGAGAGGTACACGCGCGTATTCCCCACGCCATCCGGTCTCAGAATGATACACCGCCCGCCGGGGGCGTTGTACCACTGTGCGTACGCCCCGTCGGACGGCTGGTACGGCACGGTGAAGAACGCCGTGTACTGCCCCAGCCCCCGCAGCGGATCCTCGTCCGGGAACGCCAGTCGTCGGATCTTACTTCCCATCCCGTCCGCGCCGACCACCAGGTCGAACTCCCGCCTACCCCCGCGCGCAAGCTCCACCGCCACCTTCTTCCCCGTCTGCACCATCCCCGTCACATGATCCCCAAACACGTACTCCGTGCTCATCCCCTCTCGACTCTTCTCGTAGAGGATATGCGCGAGCTCGCCCCTCACGATCTCCATGTCGGACGTGAAGCTCCGGCCCCCTTCCGCGTCGACGGGAAACAGCGCGAGCCGCTTCCCAGCGCCGTTGACGAAGGCGAGTCCGGCCTCTCTGGTTGTCTTGGCGCGGATCGCGGCCTCGAGGCCCATCTGCTGGACGACTTTGAGCGCGGCGCCCCGGATATCGATTTGCTGTCCGGCTTTGCGCAGCGAGGAGGAGCGCTCCATGATGGTAGTTGGGATACCGGCCTTGGAGAGGAAGAAGGCGCAGGCGGGACCGGCGATGCCAGCCCCTGATATCAGGACGGTGGGTTTGGACATTGCGGTTCTGAAAATGGAATGGATGTGGTATGAGAGGCTGTGAAAATGATGGTGGTATCTTTGCTCATATCAAGCATATATACTAGGGTTGGTGGTACCTTGGTGGTACAATGAAGCAGATGATCCTAGCTTTCGTTCAACACCAGGAGGAGTGGTCAGTCAGTAGTCGTCGATCAAATGAAACTCTATGGGCGAGGAAACTGGAAATCAAACAGGTTGGAAGATGAAGAAGAAGAAAGAGGCATCACCAGAGACGTAAGTAAATAAAAGCAATATGTATTGAGCCCCGGGATGACGGGATGAGACAAGAGATCGCCAAGATCTGGGCGGAGAAGCCAATTCTTCTCCAAGCAATGTGATTTAGCATGAACCCTATTCCTACGTCTCGACGTCGCCGATATCTTCGAACCTCCATTCGAGCCAGACGACCTTGAAAGTTCCAAGTAATTCAGACGTTGTCGTAGCGAAGAAGGACAACACGGCTGAGATTTGCTATCAGTTCTGAAGATTTGAATACCGTGCTCTCCTTACAAACCCGCACTGTGCCAAGAACTCCTCTTAGATCAGCCAACAAATTCGATATATCCCACCCTAGCCTCAACCTCATCGTTAAAAGCTGGCTGGCTAGCGAGCTGACCTCCCTAAACCGCGAGCGAGATAATCTCATTTCAGATCGTTTCATTTTCTTTTCTTTTCTTTTCTTTCCCTCCCCTTTCCCTTATTCAGTCCAGCAAACATACATAATTCTCTGCCATAACTTTTCTCATATCCATCTTTCTGAGATTCTTGTAAATTGCGTGCGATCAGCGAGCATGTATAGGAGGAAAAGCTTTCTTTCAGACCTGTCCACGCTATTCACCCACTTACTAAGTCAATCGGACACATCCAGCCGCCTGTATACTTGCCGCATGCCTACCTTCAAGGGCCCGCCGCCGCCGCCGCCGTCGTCGTCCTCGCGTACATGCGCCACGCATACACACCTTCCTGGTCGAGACTGGCACGCCGCGGGTACTCGGTGTTCATAATCGCTTAAGCACTTTCCCCATCTAGAAGTCGAGCTCCGCCCTTTAGATGCAGATCCAACTCCGACTCCCCAACCCTCAACCCCCAACGCCCCGCGACTGCCAAGCCGGCACATCCATTTATTTCTCCTCACACTCACGCACCGCGCTCTTCTGTGAGAATTTTGTTCAGCAATTGAAGAGCTCCGATTGGGGCTTGCCAAAGGGGGCTTTCATCCGAAATGCGCGGGACCTGCATCTGGTCGTGGCGGCTGGTCGATATATCTTCGGCTTGTCGATATATATTTCGGATGTGGCCCCTCGACGCGCGTCGTCGCAACGATAGTAAAATAACCTGTGGTGAGAAGATGACGATGAGGTTCGATCGAGGCCAGTGAGGTCTGGCTGGTCCTGAGGACAAGGGGCCTGCGGCCCTGACCTGACCTGACCAGCGACTTTCCTACCAAGATCAGCAGCGCCAGTGAACGAACGAACGAGCAAACGAACGAACGAGCATGGCGAGGAAGGGTATAAGTAGAGGGTAATCCGTACGCTGGATATCAGACATCCAGCAGCCCATTTCTTCATCATCATAATCATCACCACCGAAACCTTCTTCTCCCAACTCCCAAAGCGTCTCCAAAATGAGGCTTTTGTCTTTGACCTTCGCAACTTTGCTTGCACCAGTTCTCGTCCATGCTCATCCTGGACATGATATCCAGCAGGAGATCAAAGAACGGGCTGCCTCGCTCGAGAACTACCCCCGCGACCTCAGCCACTGCGCTGCGAAATTGAAGGCCAGAGGCAACGAAGCCCGGAACATCGACAGACGATCGGCTCTGTTGAAGGCGGAGAGACAGAAGAGAGGCCTACACCCTGGTAAGCGCATACCCCCAGAAGAAAAACAGCTTTGATATTTGGAGATCTGACTGGCTTAGGTCTGCCTCTCCTCACGGCTCGGGATGCCGGGACGGTTCTGAACACCAGCCATCTATCCCCCATCGCCTACACACCAGAGACCAGTACCGATGTCCTATTCTCCGGCAACAAGTCCTGTATCCTTGCCCCCGAGGTGACGGAAGGGCCGTACTATGTTTCTGGAGAGTACATCCGCTCGGATGTCCGAGAGACTGATCACGAGAATGGCGTAGACCTCATCTTGGACGTCCAGGTCATCGACGTGGCAACCTGCGAGCCACTCCCAAGTATCATGGTCAGTTTTGTGGCAGTCGCCGATTCCCTCCTGTCTGTCGGGTGTCTCAGAAGCAATCTACTCCCAGGACGGCTCTTGAGATACGCCAAAATGATCGTTTGCTGACTTGACGTTCTTCGGCAGCTCGACCTCTGGTATGCCAATACCACCGGCGTCTACAGTGGCATCGTGGCAGGCGGAAACGGAGACATTAGCGATTTGTCGAACATCAACACCACCCACAGCCGCGGCCTCCAACTGACCGATAGCGATGGCGTCGCTCAGTTCACCACATTCTACCCAGGACACTACACCGGTCGTACAAACCACATCCACGTGGCTACACACGTCAACGGAACGTGAGTCAATACACATCCCTGCGAATCCAGTCCAAGCTGACCTCAAGATAGCGCTTTCGCCAACGGCACGTTCCTGGGCACGACCGTCTCCCACGTCGGCCAGATCTTCATGGACCAGTCCCTCACCACCCAAGTCGAAGCCACCGAGTTCTACGCGCCCAACACCCAGCAGCTGACAACCAACGCCAACGACAGCATCTTTAACCAGGCGGCTGCTGTAGGCGACCCCGTCATCGAGTACTCCCTCCTCAGCTCCAACATCGAAGACGGCATCTTCGGCTGGATCGCCTTCGGCATCGATAGCTCTTTCGTGGGGACCATCCGCGCTGCTGCTATGTACGGAGAGAACGGGGGTGTAGCGAACCCAGGCGGTGGCGGTGGTCCCGGCGGCCCTCCTCCTACTGGATTCCCACCTTCGCCGACTGCTGTTTAAGCGCTGGAAATCGGGATTTCGATGCGGTTGCGTTAGAGGTATCTTTGGTCTGAGGAGGAAAGAGATAGAGCGGGGTATTTGGATGAATTGGATGAATTTGGCGCTTTGTTTTGATCTTCCTTAGCTGCTGAAATACATGATGCGAAGCGAGATGCTCATCAGTAAATTTAGGATAGTATGTAGCATGCAACTATGTTAACCCAGGGAATTGATATAACCTCATCAAAGGATTTTGCATCGTCTGGCATCTTTATATTCGAACCTCTGCATGTCATGGATACGCGTTAGCCCTTCGTAGCTCCCCGTGATACCCGTCTGTTGAATTTGAAGACGCGACTGGCTGGGGTAAGCTTGGAGACTCAAGTCACAGCACTCCCGCTGTCAAGTTTTGAGAGTCGGATGATGTAGGGAGCACCTATTTCTCTGCCACTGGCGTCCAATGCAACAGTCACGTCTGCACAGTATGCCTGCAACATGCTGGCCGCCGTCAAAATGCGAACAGTATTTCCTGAGCGTCAAGATCTATTTCAGATAGTGCAGGACCTGCTGGCTATGGTTTTAGCGAGATAAGCAAGCTCTGACCTTCATAGATGAGCATAGACCTATGTAACGTTCTGCAGGATTCTCATCGCTGGTTCTATGTCCCTAGATGCTTACGAATATTAGGAAAGCGTTCTGAAACCTCTCCTGTAATCTTCGGTCAATACCAAGAACCTCCATCGATAGCTGCTTGAAAAAGCTTCTCCGGGATTACGTTTCCTACCGGGTAGTCACCCAAGACAGATACAGATAATTTTCCGCCATAACCTATTAAACCCTCCTTAGCGCACTTTCTACAGTCACTCACATCAAGAGGGCGATATATAGACTTGGCCGGCCTGCATGGAATGCATGTGAATTGTGCCATCTGATGGATGTCTACTCCCTCCTGAACTTGGCTGGAATATTCTGCTCCACAATAGGCATCTTGTCCAACCGAGCAACTCTCTCCGCTTCATCCTCCAATTCGTCGTGTTTCCTGAAGTGTTCAATGTCTTCGGGGTGGATTAGGTCCTCTTCCTTGGTATTCTCATTATGGTACCTGTGCGTCATTAGCCACCAAGGATTTGCCACGCTACAGCCCCGGACAGCACTTACTTTTCCCAGTGATGGATTTCGTATTCAATCTCCATGTCCCAATGATGACCTGGACCCGTTCCAAAATCCGGCAGGGTGCCTTTCCCGTCCTGTGTAAAGGCTATCCATTCCGACCTTTCGACAATGCCGTTCCCATTCGTGTCCATCAGCTTCATGATCTGCGTGACAATCTCGTCTTTCTTCGATTGAGGCACGTCTTTCGCAGTCTCGTCCTCCATACCATAAGTCTTCAGGATCTCATGCTCGTCCCAGTATCCAGTGTTATCGTAATCATGGAGCGAGAAGAAGGACATGGCATCGAAGGTGTCGATGTGATGTTCGCCTGCTTTGCGTCAGCACCGTAGGATCCAGCTTCAGGAGGGAGGAACCTGCTCTGCATGTGTCTTGTGGCCCAATCTGCATTTGGATCAACTTGCAGTGGCTTCTGAGATGCCTCGCCACCAGCTCCGTGACCCAATACCACACCGGCCATGGCCATGGCCACAGCTATCGTCACTGGCAACCTCGCAGATGCCCCTATCGAAACCATCGCGATTGATACGCGGAGATTGTGGTTGTAGAGAGTATTGCAAGTGCGAGTGCGAGTGCAAGGTGCAGAAGAAGTGGCTTATTGATTCTCCGATGCCCAGGGAGTGATGTATTTGATACGGAGTTCAGGGGTCGGGTCTACGGCGCTCGAGCCGCCAGGACATGGCTCGATGATCAGCGCTCTAGAGGCCGATCGCACTATCTGAACTTCTTTAGTCCGTATCCGTACATCTTCGGAATATCTGATCTAGTCGTTGGATATTGGGTAGTAGGATAGCTACCTTTTCATGCTGCCTTTACTTTGACGCCTTTCTTGCCCCGAAGTACAACGTAGAGTTAATTGTCTGGATCCTCCCGCTGCTTCTCATGCACAATGACAGATTGCCAAGAGGTTGTTCGTCCCGCATCCAAGAACATGTCATGGGGCCGACAACTCGCGGTGAGCATTCTTTAAGCAATAAAGAGCTGGCATGATCTCCGCAGATCACCAACCTCCACAACATTCCTCAGATATCACCAGCATCAGCCTCAGCCTCAGCTTCAGCTTCAGCATCCTGCAGCTGACAGCTTTAACTTGGAATCCTGCCTTTCTACTTACACCAACACCACTTTTTCGAGAGCCCGTCCAGCTCACGTCATCAGAACGCGGCAGCTAGGATGGGAGACTTCAAACCGCTCATCGGGCCAGGCCTGGATGTAGCAAATTCACTCATTGACAAGCATTTCGATAAACTGCCCAACTCAGCCTTCCGGCGGGAGACGTACAGCCCGAGAAATATACACCTTCCCTACCATCATCGACGTGGTAGGAAGAGCCGCAAGGACTCCAAAGACACACACCAATCTGACTACGATTACGATTACGATTACGACCACGACTCTGACTCTGACTTCGAGACCCAGAACGACCGTCGAGCGCGCGAGCGGCGTTACACCCAATCAACCCCACGATCTGAAGCCGGGAGCGATAATGACAGCTACTACTCTCGGCCGCCAACTGAGTTGTCCGAAACTAACCTCGTGAACCACGACCGTTCCATGACACGGATCCCTCCGAATTATGGGGATTCGCGGATCACAAGGCCGACATATCCGCCAGTCTACAGCCACCAGCCCCCGCGCCAGAGACCGGAATACATCCCCTCGCCCCCGCCATCTGCTAACACCTACTACGTACCTCCGCCTACTAATCATATGGCGATGAACCGTGGCCGCGATGTTGATCCTCACCGAGACGATGATTATTATTCCGAATCGTACCATGCTCCGCGTCGGCCACGAGCCGTGACAAGACGCAGTAGCTCGTACCATGGGCCAAGAAGCAAGGATGACTACGGATACGGCAAGCAAGTATCTCGTCGCAAGGGATCAAGCTCGGAAGCAATCGACCGGGTAAAGGACGCAGCTGATCGGTACAATTTGAAGGATGATATAAACAACTTGTTCACCGCTAGCCCGGAAGGCTTGGTGGGAGGGGCTGCGGGCGCAGCGTTGGGCGGTTGGGCAGCACAAAAGGCCCAGATTGGATATTCGAAGGGGAAGAGACATGAGCCGAGTCCGCTTCTGACATTGATCGGGGCTACAGTAGGAGGGCTGGCAGTCAACAGCCTCGTGGATAGGTACCAGGACGGCAAGAAAGATGCGGCAAAGAAGGAAAAGAGAGGAGAACAAAGGTACGGGAGCGAGGATGGGAGTGATGATGATAGGAGCCACAGGTCAAGCCACAGAAGCCAGCGGAGCTACCATCGCCGGCGCAGGGACAGTTATGATTGATGACTGACGAATCACGCCACTCCATGGAACTTCAGAGCTACGTTTAGGGATTACTATTGGGTTGCGCAAAAAAAACCGTCTGTAATGATGTATGAGGTTCACGGCCGAGATGATTTTAAACTTTTGCGATACAGAATCGAGAGCTAATGCTGATTGAAATGATGCTTAAAGAATCCGGGTTAATAGAATAGTGAGTAAATTGTTAATATGCTCTAGAATATGCTTTCCCCACGACTTGGAAATCAAGATGGAAGAAAAGTTTACTTAAAGTGATGATCGCCGTTCCGTTCCGTCCCGTCCAAAAGGTAGGTAGATATACCCCGATTCAATTCAGTGCTCTAAGTACAGTAGCATTCTGTCTAACCTAAATAAAGCATCATTCATTCATCCATTCATCCATTCATCCATTCAAAGCCCGTTTCGTTTCGCTTCGCTTCGTTTCGTTGACATTAACGTTGACGTCTTTGCTTTCGGAAGCGAACAAGCGAACAATATTCGCCATCAACCATCATGCTTTAGACGAACGCGCCGTCACCTATAGCGGTGGCATTTTACACCCCGGCTCCTGAGTGGAAGCGCGTTGTGTGTTTGGATAGGTTTGGATTGGTTTGCAGCCGTTTCTGATTTGATTCCGGAAAATCTAAAGGCTCTGCGTTATTTATATGAGATTAGATCTGATTAGCTTTGGCGAGCGCGTGCCTTTTCTCTGGTTTTTGGCCGAGATGTTTGGGTGGATGGATCGCTTGGTTTGTTGGGTTTAGGGGAAAGGAGGGAAGGAGAGGGGGAGAAGAAGAGGAGGCCTGCGCTGGTCCCAGCTGGAGGGAGTTTTGAGGTTTCTTGTTTCTCGCCCGCGGACTCCGACTGACTCGGTCGGTGTATAAGTGCTTTCGAGCCGCGGATGTTGCAGATCTTATAGAGAGCTGAATTCAGGCTTCGGGAAAGAAAATCGAGAGTCTCGTTCACTTTCCTTTCCTTTCCGTTCTGATTAGACTACGATTACCTCGCACAAGAATGGGTCGTCGTTCATCCTGGCGCCACCCAATCATCCACCCAGCCAGCCATGCATCACACAATACATACACACGAAGAAGGGCTGCCCGCCTCGATCATCGTAGAAAACTCCCTAAAAATGCCTAATCAAGTGACTGACTATCCTGGACTTTCACGATACCCGTGCCCAACATCGTGCGCCTGATTTCCGCTTTCAAATATCGACATGTTGTCACCCTCCCCGAAACGCCTATATCCTCACTATCGCCGCCCTTATGTGACAGTATCGGGATTTCAAGGCATTGCTTCGACATAAGTTGAGATGCCTCTTGAGACGACATGGCTACATGTTGCTGGATGTTCGAAAGATCGTCGTCATGTGTGACTCCGTAGAATCGATGCTGAAAAATCGAGGGGCAGTTCCCATTACTCGATTACCATCTTCCGTTGACCTCCTACCATGGTCCACCCCAAAGCTCGTAAGGCGTCCTTGTCATTCGCTCGGATGATCGTGCAAGCTGGTAACATTGGGTTGTGCGGATCGACGTGAGATGCATCTTTGGCGGCTTGCTCTATGGCATCCATTTCCTCTTTGCAATCCTGCTGGTCTAGTGGACATACCACTATAGGTTGTCTCAAAACGATATCTCTGGCTGCAGACATGTGCGCCTACGCATGTTAGCCTACTACGTCTCAAAGCCCTCTGGAGTCAAAGTACCTTGATTATCAGGAAGAATTCAATTTTGTATAGAGTCCCTGTCGTGGTGAAGGAGTTAACTGCATACATAGGAAATGCAGCTTTTCCACGGCGAATAATCCCTTCCGAATCTCGTAACTCCTTAGAAGGAAAGACAAGTCCCAGATTCGTAAAGTACCCAGCTTCTGGCATCCTTACCCCAACTGTCTGAGTATGCTTGGCTATTCGGTTGACCTTTTTCGTCGGCTCATCCCCTTCAGGATTATATGTAATCTCCTCTTCTATTCCAATTGTTATTTTCTGGATAGTAACCTTCTTCGCCTTGCTCAACCAGTCCGGGTTTGGCGAGAGCTTTATGTAAACGCTGACAGGATCCAAAGGTCCGTAGGACCAGCGCGGTAAAGAAATGCCTAAAGTGACCAAGTGATCGGACTTTTTCTCTGCAGCTTCAGGCCGATTGTACATGCCAAAAGTCGAGAGGGTATCATATCTCTGTATCGGAACTGGGAACGCGAACTTCTTTTGCTCTTGGCCTTGTTGAACCGTCACTACCAGCTCGTAGAAGGTCTCCGCGGTTCGACTCGGGAGCTGTAGAGAAGCTGGAGGTATCCGCCTGTTGGTCTCTTCTCCCCCTCTGCCAAACGGTATGAACAGTACAAACGGGAGGTCCATCAGGACCACACTCTCGGATTCCTTGCCAGCCGGACATCGGAACAACAGCAGTTCCTTTCCCACCACATCCGTTGTTTCTCTCCTAGGAGTTCCCAAATGCTTCTTCGCTATTGACTCAGCCGAGGGATGAATCGTTTCTCTCCTTTGTAAACATATGCGGACCAAGGATATCGAAACCGGCGCCGAGATGCCGGTGAGGGGCCTGATCTCAACTTTGCCTTCTACGCGAGGCTGAGGGATCCGCCATTAGCAACACGCAGCTCATAAGTATAACAAACACATGGCTTACCAAAGTCGCCGATATTCCGGGATACCCTACGAGGAAATTGCTATTTGGCGGCCCCGAGACTCTGACAAAGGCAGCCATCTTGTCTCGGGCTCACGCTGGCGCCAGCGCGTTTGCGCCAAGTGGGTTGTGGTGTCGACAGACAGGCGGGATCAATTATAGCTTGGAGGGCATACGGAGTGTGAAGCTGGGATAGTGCACAGCAGTGCAGTGGCCTGTGGATGTTGCACGTTCGTCGTCACGATATAAGCAAGGCTCGGCCGCCTTGTTGACGTTTTGGCAAGGTACCGATCGGATCTACGTGACTGTTGACGTCGTTGGGGAGGGCGTTGAGAGTTAAGCTAGAGAAAAGAAGAGGCAGAGAAGTACGTGACGTGAATTGTAAGAGATTCGAGTAAAGTAAGGTAGGGAGCTAGCTAGCTATGTTAGATATATGGCGTTCTTCTTTGTCGTGTCTGCGCGGTTCTCGGTATGGCTGCTAGCATGGTAAGGATACTTACTTATCGCTTACTTAGTTGTTAGCTCAAGCGATTCGGGTCGGGCCAGACGGTAGGCTGTTGTTCGGGAAATCGACAGTGGTGGGGCAACGGTGATTGTTTGCGACATTCCTCTCCGACGGCAATGAAATAAGAGCTTCGGATTTCGCGCACACTCATCAATATGTCCGTCACTCTGCATACGAATCTCGGTGACATTAAAATCGAGGTATTTTGCGAGAGCGTGCCCAAGACAGCGGAGGTGAGCGGTTTCCCCCAGCTACAGTACCTTATTCTTGGGACTGTAGTCTAACAGCCCTCTACCAGAACTTTCTTGCTCTATGCGCCTCGGGCTACTACAATGGCTCGCTCTTCCACAGACTCATACCGAACTTCATGATCCAAACCGGAGCTCCGCCCTCACAGCCCAAGGGAGGTGTTTCGATATGGGAGGAGCCTTTCGAGGACGAGATTCGGCCTACGTTGCGACACAACGCTCGAGGAATAGTCAGCATGGCAAACAAGGGCCCGGCAACGAACGGCAGCCAGTTCTTCATATGCCTCGACAAGGCGCCTCATTTGGACGGGAAGAATACGGTGTTTGGGCATATCTTGGGGGATGATAGCCTGGCAACGATCACGAAGATGGAAAAGGTCGAGGTGGACAAGAAAAGTCGGCCGAAGGAGCAGATCAAGATTGAAAGCATTTCAATGCATGCGAATCCACTGGCAGGTTAAGGGGGCTCGAGGACATGAGGAAAACCTTACGAAGGGACTTCACGGGGAAGGCAAGTCCAAGCCCAACCTGCTTGGAAGGCCCAGCAAAGAGTTATAGAGAAGCTTGCGAGGACCAACGCACGATCGCCAATGAAGCGGCGTGCAATTAAGGAGACCAAATCCATTTGAGCCAATCGTCCGTCGTGTAGGACGGGATATTTATGGGCAATGGGGGCCGAAACCCGATAATACGGGAGCCAGTCCTCATGTCAGCAGTCCATCGGAGACAATGTGAATCGAGGACATATAACCGGGTCTTGAGGGAAGAAGCAATTCGCGAACTTCTTGAAATGGAATAGGGATGAAACATAAAATTTGATTGTAGCGAGAGGCGTTATGTTATGGTGTTTAGTTGCTTTCCAACGTACCCGCTATTCTCGACACTTTGAAATATTCTGACAAACGTGCTATGGTCAATGTATCTATCTCCTCAAAGACACCAGTGATCCGGAACTCTCCTTCCTCCGAGACAGGCAGAGTGAAAACGGAGTAGAAAAGGGCACTCAAGCGTAGGTAGTCTGATGGTCATTACGGGTTTTCCACGGTTCAGACTTCTACCAAATCCGAGAAAGTACCCCATTGAGCACAAGCAATATCCAACCAGTGGTATCTACGAGCAGGAGAAGCACAATCGAGTTCTTCTCATTGCTGTTTTCTGAATAGAAAAATCGTTCTAAAGCTGGACGTTAGTTTAAGGGTTGGAGCGAAACACCGTATGTAAATCGCCATGGATCCGGGCCGCAGCAGCAGATTCGATACACACCCGCGTCGTAGGCTGAAGGCAATAACTACCACTGTCATAATTGCTACACAGAATTTTCCTCGTCGTAGTAGATAATGAGAGAAAAAAAAAAATAGAGAAAAGCAACACCCAGATTAAGAGTATTTCTTTTCCGGTGCCCGAATGTCGGGGAGCTTGCTTAGAACTCGGCAGCTCTTGGCATGGAGCATCCAACACAGAGGATCGCCAAACCCAGCAATAATCAACCACCACTAATTGGGAAGAGACAAGACGTAGAATCAGGCAAAGGTCGATTCAAGAGCCTGCCCGGGGATGAGCAAGAGGAAGTCCAAAAAGAGAATGAGAAGAGTGAGATTCGAACTCACGCGCTTTCGCACTGCGGGTCACCAGACACTCTCAGAGCGTCATGCCTAAACACAGCGCCTTAACCACTCGGCCATCTTCCCTTGTGTTGAGCTAATACGTTGGTGTGTAATTACATATAGCTACTGGCAAAACTGATTTCGTTGAATAAAAAAATAATGTTGGCTGCAAAAGCTGATATGGCGCGATAATTCTCATCTCATCAGCTGCACTTCTACTTGCCTGCTATATTGATACAGGTAATTCTATTATGTGCTGCATCTACACGGTTATTGTAAACCTTGTGTGGACGCCGCGCGTATATAAGGAGGTGAGGTGCTGAGCTCACAGGTAATATGTGTCACCGCCTTTACCCTTGTTCTGCATGGCTGAAATGGTAGTGACTTAGATTTCCACCACCGTGAAATTTAAATGTATTATAAATTCAATTCGATAAATAATCAACTGGATAATCACGGCTTGATCGTCACGAAATGTAGATGTTTGAGGTTGTGCTTGAGCATTGTATTATGAGCATATGTGTTGCCAAGTACTTGATGATCAGTGAGTGATATTTCCTCCTGCATGTCATCGTAGCATCCTGAAATCGCAAGTCTCCACCCGTTCAAATGTCTACCTAGCCAGGCCATGTAAATGATAATGCAAAGGACCGAAAATGATGCTCAACAAACACCGATGCCCATCATGGCCCAAGATCGAGTGAAGTTTTCTTCGCAAAGAAGTCCTTGATGCTGGATTGTTTCCCAATACTTTTCTTCTTCAGGCTTCCCCCTTCCGTCTTGACACTGATCTTGCTCATGGTGCCTATTTCTTCTACCTTGAATTTCTTCCAGGCGGTGCCTTCTTCGGCGGGAGGGGGACGCTTGACTACCGAAGGGACAGATATGACATCGGAATCATCGTCCGACACGCCGCCGTAAACAGGGCGTGTAGCCGGCACCGGCCAGGAAGGAGGTTGGAGACGTTGAAGGCAGAGTTTATTATAAGTGGCGTTGGGGGTGACGAATGTGGGGCGAACTTGAGTAATCGAAACGGCCAAAACTAGAAGGGGCGACCCAAGCCAAAATTACAGGAAGGTACGCGTCAGGAGGGTACGCGTCAGGAAGGTACGACCCAGAGCCCAACTCTCCACCCTGGATCACGACTATAAGATCCGATCAGCCTTGAATATTTTGAATTCGTTACCAGCCAATGTTGTTACGTGTCCGATTCTCCGGTTACGAAATACATGCCCTCATCTGTGAGAAAGGTAGTGAATATATCCAGTTTTTCACCATCGGGATCGGGATAGATTCGGCCAGGCAGAGCTTAGTGTATATAAGACAGACTCCGAAGTTATGAACCATTGGATTCCATCTACCTCCGTAGTAACTAATGAGCTAAAGTAAACCCGGACCTTGCAAATTTTCGACCACGGAAGTCGATCGAACCCATCAACCCTTCCCTACACGCTTTTCGGTGTCTAACAAGATGCCCAACACGACATGATCAATCTATGTAATTGTTGACCCAGACTGAGACCGTGACTTCATCAAATTGCAAATTAAAACCCAGAGAAAGAAAGAACCCATGTACCCCACAGCCCACGCAACCACCCCAGAATTCCACAAAAGCTGCAAAACCCGCGTTGAACATACCATGAAACCCTCCATTATTCATCAAACCCCGGCTTTCCACAAATACAAACTAGAAGCCCGACGAGATTCAAATCCTGAACTCGACCTCTTTGTACACATACCACGAAATAAAGAATCGCGGCTTCACTGTACCCAACGTGTCCAAGTAGTAGAAGCTTTTAGGCCCATATTTCTGGACCATCTTCGAGCGTCCCATATGTTCGTACTGGATGAGCTCTTTTTCGGAAAACGCAAGCGGCTGACCCACGATTTTGCCTTCAACAGCCAGCTTCGGGTTCGTGATGACACTGGTCTCGCTACTGATCTCCAGTAAGAAGCGGGTCTCCAAGTACTTCTTGCCTCGGATATTGATATTCTTGCACGCCGAGTTAGCAGATACAAAATAGGCCCGCCCTCTTACTAGGTACTTACCTTCGGATTCGCCATGCGCCAGTAGTATCCTTCATTGTCTTCACCGGGTGGGATCTTTGTATAGGATGACCAGAAAGTTTTGGTCTCGAGAACCAAGGCTTTGGGAATTATGATCGATAGCACCGGTGAAGTGGGTACGGGCTGAATGGCACCCAGGGTACGGACGGGAGTGGCTGGTCGAGCCGTCGCTAAGCCCATTGCTCTGATGCCTTGCGGTCGCTGTGTAAGAGCATTTTTTCGCGCCTCGAAATCCTCCTCGCGCTGCTTCACCGCCCTCAAAAGTCTCTCATTCTCCTCGACCTGCTTTCCAACTTCATCTTTTTGAAACTTCAGCTCTGACTCTTGGCGCTTCTTCTGTTCTTCCCAGCTCTTGATTTCGCCAGCGAGCTCATTGGATTCAGCTTGTTGTTCATTCAAGACTTTTTCGCGCGTTTGGAGATCATTTCTAAGCAGATCTAAGGCTTTTCTTTGGTCGTCCAAAGCTCCACGCTCACTCGCAAGCTTAGAATTTTGACTCTCCAAGCTTCGGCAGTAGGTTCGCACCTGTTGATCGTATAGAGCAGCAGCGGTCATGCTTGCGATTCTTGCCTTTTCGAGGTTCGTTGGAAATCCAGGCAAGTCATCTGCGTCATATAAGTCCACAGCCCAGCTCTCGCTGCGATCCATATTAGATGGTGTGTCCACGGCATGTCCCCCACGAGGCAGTGCTCTGCTTTCTGAATCGTATTCGACCAAAGTTTGAGTTGAAATTGGATCTCTGGATTTGCCAGGATAGGAACGGGAGGCAACCATGGTACCGGTCAACTCGTCGTCGCTGCCGCAGGCTTGACCATCTCCCTCAGTGTATGATTCAGCGTCAATCTCAGATCTATCAACTGCTAGAATGGTATCAGTATTTTTCGATGCTGCGGTATGCCGGAGTGTCCTAAAACACCTGGAATACCTACTAAGCTCTGTATCTTTCCACGTAAAACGAGGTAGGATCTCATTTATGGTCTCATTGAAGGTATCCTTGACGAACTCCGGGTAAAAGAGGACGTTTCCTATGTCCTTGATGTATCGTCTCGAGGAATCCATCTTGCTGGGCTGCCCATGGTTTTTTGAGACGATGAACGAGATTTGAGGAGTAGATCCAACTGGATGAGTAGCAATGTGGGCTTGAACCGGAGCGCTGGAATCTTGCCTATGGGAACCGACTAAGATATATTCGGGATCATAGACACGTCTAGTCCGAGCTGCAGAAGCGGAATGTTGTTCGTCATCCTTATGTTCTTCAAAACTCTCCTTCGCAAATAGAAACTCGTTTATGATCTCGAGCTTCCGCCTATTAGTTGCGGTACGAAGTTCATCGATATACTTTGGGAACAGGACACTGCTCAACGTGACCTTACCAATAGCTACTGACCTATTTGGGGGTATAAGGTCCTTCCATCGTTGCTCATCCATGTCCGATTTCGGAAAGTTTTGATTCTTGCGTGTATAGATGTAGGTCATCGGCTCAGCGTTGGGGCGAGGTACCTTCAACTTAGCATAGACCGCGATGCATGGTTCTTCGGAGTGACAACCGATAACAACAAGCTCCTCTCCATCTCGCAGCTGCTTTGCTTTCTTGCTTGGTTGGCTCGTAGGAATTTCACCACTCTCATCCGCTGGCATACCTTCAGATATAGATCTCTCATCGGCATGGGCTCGCTTGTTCCCCGTGATGATACCGGCGAAAAGTTTCTTGCCAGGAGTGGTCAAGTTGTGTACATTGGAAGGAGAAGGGGTGGGAGATTCACCGGCGCGTCGTTGCTTGCCCTGTGACTTTAGGGTCGACATATCATTGCTTCCGTTTGTAGCAGGAGTCGAATTATCCGTGCCGTTTCCTTGTCGCATCTGAGTGGGAATGTACATGGGCGCCAATGGCGCTACTCGCCTAGGACCGGGCGATGTCAGCATTTTCTGCTAATTATCATTATCTCCAGACACTTCAAAAATCCCATCTGAACATCTGAGGGCATACCTACCGGTTAGAGTTCTCCATAGCCAGATTTTCTGCGATCTCCAACCAATCCTCGATGGTCTTTGCAAGAGAGCTAATTGGCATAGGCTGAAGGCAAAATTTCGGGGCGAAAGGAGGTTTGATTTTACCGGGAGCGATATCGTTTCGTATCAGCTACGAGCTCAAGTATGGACGTCGTGATGTATGTCGCGGTAGTTGCTTGGAAGGCCTGTTTTGTTGACTTGGGCGGGACGACTTGCGACGAGAAGCGCTAGGTTAAGAGCCCGTACAAAATACCCAGCGGAGGGATTCAGAGTAATGGTACAGGTATTCCTGAGAATGGGATGTAAAGGGAGCTGTCGAGAGCGTGCCGAGATCTTCGAAGTTGTCGACTCGATAGGGTGGATGGATGTTCATATGACTTTTGCGTGTTGTGAGAAGTCTTTTCGTCAGGCTTAAAGACGCGGTCGGTGGGTGGGTGGTGTTCATATGACTTTGGCTTGCGCAAAGGCCGAATGTGCGACTAGGGTTTTGATACCTGCGGCCTCTCCACAGGCTTGAGGTGCTACTAGAAATTGTAGTGCCTTCGAACTATCCACGAATAAGAGCAACAGCAGCAGAAGGCAAGGTAAGGCGAATCAGCGGCATGATACCCAAGGAAATTGGCAGGCTATCGAATTGTCGCTACAGCCGTTCCTGCTGCTTTGTAGTTGATGATCTTCGCGACCGAAGAACTGTTTTGAGCTTGAGCTTGAGCTTGAGCTTGAGCATGGGCATGAGCATGGGTATGAGCATGAGCAAGGGCATGAGCTTGGGTATGAGCATGAGCATGAGCATGAACTCAGATGGCGCTTGTTGTAATTATCGGTTCCCAGAGTTCTTACTTCTGAATCGACTATGCGATGCGCAAGATGGATGGACTGTATCGAGCAAGTACATTAATGGTTATGAAAGGACAGCTGGACTCACTTCTCCGCCTAATTGATGGTTATATCTTACTATGAACACACGAAGCCGGCATTATCTGAGGGTCGAGGGAGTATGCTATTCGAAATTCTGCGGACCGAACAAGTGAAGATAGCAAGAAGCCACTTGCGTCTTCTCAGTCAAATGGATCACTTCGGTCACATCAGGCCAATAGTGTCTAAGAATCGAGGGAATACACGGTTCCAAGTCCCGCAGACTGGACAAACGGAATGTCAAGGGGACGACCAAAGTAACAGACAGGGTTGCGCTATAGTGAAACGACTCAATTCGCAAGCACACAAAGGAAGATATGAGAAAAGACAAAAATTCATTCATATAACAACGATATAAACATAGAAACATAGAAACACAAGCCATCAGGGGAGAATTTGCAAATTGACATATATAAATATATATGGGATGAGTATATAAAAACGATAGAAACATAGAAACACAAGCCATCATGGGCAAAATTTTCAAATTTTCAAATTGACATATGTAAATATATATATATATATAAGGGATGAGTGATGTTGAGTACTCAGACAGACAGCAAAACACTCTGAAAAGCCAAGAAGAGCCAAATTTCGCAAGCCGAGCAATGTTCATTGTTCAGCTTCTCCTAGGAAAAGAAGGATGCTGCCGCCAGCTCCTGTGGTCGATATGCTCCACCTGCTGATTTGTTGATTCTGTATTCAAGAACCGACCGCTCAATGGCTATAAGGCCCAATTCGCTGTGATATGTGCGGCGGCTCTTCGCTGGCCATGTATAACATTTGCTGTTGCTCAAAAGAGGTCCGACTTGAAATTGTTGGTTGTAGATGAGCTGGTGGTCATGATGACAATAAGGAAGACAAGTCATTATTGCGGTCGGAGAAGCATTGGCGGTCGGAGAAATATCGGTCAGCCGTTAAAGCGGCTGCGGTTGTCGCAACTCGCGAGGCTGCAAGAGTCACCAAATTATTGAACTTCAGCCTTTCGACTTGGAGAAGCCACTGCAAACCACAACAGCGACTCGAATATGGCCGACGCCGACGAGGATGCGGCTCTTGCTGCCAATTACATCCATTCCGCCGAAGACCACGATCCCAGTGATGAAACCCAAGACTTTCGATTTCTCGCAAGCCTGAACTCGAGGTCTGGTCAGCTACCAAAACGAGGAGACAAGGACTTCGAGCCCCATGGCACAAAACAACAAGATGGCATACTGGAGACTAGCAGGGAGGCTATGCATGATGCGCTCAATTACACCAGAATACACCAGGCCAAGAACTACAGTCGGGGCTTCTACTATGGAGAGGAAGGGTTAAGTCGCGACGAGGCTGTCCCGAAAGATTGGACGCAGGGCTTGCACGATGACCATGTGGTTGTTTTGGAGTCATTCTATGGACAGGTTATTAAGAGCTTGGGCACATCTACAAAAGGAAAGCACCGTGCAAGTATATGGCTATTACCGGAGGAAGCCCTCTTCCTGGTTGAGCGAGGAAGTCTCGATCTCTGGTGGCCGACTCGGTCTTCCTTCAATGGCGTTATCGAAGACCCTGCGGAGGACACGGAAAACGAAGACATAGACAAGGATGTAGAAGCAGAAGCGGAGAGAGAACTTGAGGTTCCAATGAGTTTGCAAGCTGCATACGCTATCTTCATTGGTAATGATGATGAGAGAGGCAAAGTCAGCTTGGAAAGATACCAAACGTATGCGCATCTCAAGCGGGCAGGATATATCGTTAGGAGAGCTCCGGAATGGGACCCGAGCAAGGCCGGTCAAATATCGAGTCACGAGGTTGTCGCCTCAGGAGAATCGCCAAATATCTTCCATTGGCTCTTTGGGAGAATTTTCGCTGCGAAGGAGATTGACCACTCTGGTTCTGGTTCTTTGGTAAAGCCAGGCATGTACCGATCTTACAATTCGATCTACAAGCAAATCGCGATCATTCCTCGACACAAGCCATCGCCAGTCCCGTCGGACCTTGCACCACCGCCAGAGCACCCTTATCGAGTGGTATTCTGGGTGTGGAAGGCTACCAAAAGTATGACATTTACCAAGAGCAACCCTGGTCAACCAGACTTTCGTATTGCCGTTGTGGATGCGCGCTCAAGATCTCTCCCCTCTCTCACAGAAATGACCTCTCTACTCGAAAGCACGCCGTGGGACCCTCCCAACATGACCATTCCTGCATTCGATGGCCCTGGGAAAGTCTACCAGAGGTTAAAGCATGGTTGGCGCAACGTGATCTTGGCAGTCATTGACCAGGGCGTTATCAGCTATCTGCGACTGGGCGAGGTTGCTTTTGGAGAGGAGAGGATTTACGAGCGATTCGACCAAGGGAGTGCTGTTCGAGGTGGGAAGCGAGGCGGTGGCGCAGGACGTGGAAGTGGACGCGGGAGAGGCAGAGGCAGAGGCAGAAGCACAAGCACAAGCAGAGGCAGAGGTAGGTAGATGAGGCAGCAAATAGGCATGTGAAGTCAAGGGAGCCAAGAGCCAATTGAGGATGAAAGGAGATTGATGAATACGGCGTACGAAGTATGGTTGGAGAAAGCGAGAGCCAAAAGGTGAGAGAGTGAAAGTGTAAAAGCCTAATTTAGCAAAGAGAGCCTCGCACTCAACAGTATAACCAAAGCGGAATTTGTCTTGTACCATATCAAGCGCGCTCTACTTTACGTTATCGAGCGACTTCCCCCAGGTAGGGAGGGTTTGAGGGCTGGAGGGCTGGAGGGCTTGAGGGTTGAGGGCTTTGAAGCCGGGCGGCAGTCGAGACGCCGGTTACCTGCCTGCAGCTTAACAAACAGGCTTCGCTCGTTGGTCCAGAACAGAATGTCCTCCTCTCTGAAAGGCATAAGAGTAGCCTGTGCGTAGGTTGCATGTCATACCTACCTAGTCGTATCAGCAGCTGCAAAACACTCAATTAGTTTGTCGTTGTAAGATCGGGGGTGCCGGTCCTGGTCCTGATCCTGATTGATATGATTACAATTTTTTTTTTTTTTTTTTCCTTTTTGTCCACGCCGTGATATTATCCATCCACTCCACTTCGATCGCTCACTCGCTCACTCGCTCACCTCACCTTTGCACTTCACTCGCGCCACTCAGCACTTGATAGGTTACGAGACTACTTCTATGTCCGAAACTCTTTAGCGCGGTTTTAAACAAGACTCTTTTGTACTCGCGCCATTTGACGCCCGCAGCTCTCATCTTTTTTCAGTAATTACTACGGGCTGGCTGTGTGTAGGTTGTCTCTTTCTCTCTCTTCCTCTCCCTCAATTCCTCTCTCTCTCTCTCTCTCC